CCAGCAGCCCTGCGGGCGGGCGCGGGGGCGCAGAGCGCCCGAGCCACCTCCCGGGCCTCCGGCTGGGAGCCCATGGCCTCCTCGGGTCCCCGGAGCGAGCGGCCACTTCCTCGCCGGTCACCACCCTCACGCAGACCATGCACGACCTCGCTGGGCTCGGCAGGTAGGGCGCCCCAAGGAGGCCGGCTGTGGGGTGAGAGGTCGGCATTAGGGTGTTGGTCCTGGGTCTCCGGGGGAACCCGGCTTGGGATCCGAATCCGAGAGGTGGAGTGAGAAGGCGTCCCGGGCAGAGCCTGCTTTGGGGACCAGGGACAAGGGCGGTGAGGCCAGGACTGGGCTGTTCACACTCTCCAGATGACCTGCTCTTGTCCGGCACAGGACTCTGAAGACAACCTCCACCCCCTAGTGTGCCTCCACCATGCTGCCTCCCTAATTTCTGCCCAAAACGCCACCATTTTGCCCCAGGCAGCAAATCGTGAGCCTGGAGGGGTAACTTCAGGGTGGCAGAGTAGTCCAGTTCTCCCATGTCCATTGCCCCTGCTCCCCCTACACCTAATTCTTTCCTGGGGTTTAAAGGGTTAAATGCTGGTCCTGCTCCCTGAGCTCGCCTGCAGGGTCCAGGCTGGGTTGTCCTCCCAGCAACAGAAACCCAAGTCTTGGCCCTTCCTCCAGGAAGGCTGGTGGATGGGTAGGAGCCTAAAGGCCCTCCAGGGCTGCTCTGCTGCCCCACCGTCCCCCAGCCCAGCTCCTTCCTCTTGTCTCGGGCTCACCTACCCCTGTACCCAGGAGGACCTTTCTTAAACCAACCAACAAAGAGAAGACACTTAGGACCTCTGTAGAAGGAGCCTGCCTTGGCCTGAGAAGAGGGCAGGTTTTCCATGCCCTCACCTCCCTTGGGGCAGTGCAGAAGATGGATGGGCCCTTCAGAAGTGGGTGGCTGGTGGGAACACGGGCCAGCCAGCCCTTGAACCCCACATTTACCTTTCTGCTTCCCTGGGTCCCTGCTCCCTTCCCAGGGAGACCCCAAAGAGTCAGGTAGGCAGCCTGCTCACATGCCTATCCCTGTCCCCGCGGCGAGCGTCTGCATCCTCCCTGTCGTCTGAGTCCTCTGAATCTTCGGATGCAGGTGAGGCCCAAGGGTGCCAGGGGCGTTTGGGGGGCTGCCTGAGCCTCCTCATTTCCCTGCCAGTCAGCCTAATGTCCTTCCAACAACCTGAGGACCTGAGAAGCCTCCCCCTGCCCACCTCTGGCGGGCTCAGCCCAGAATGACAGAGCCAGGGGACTGGGTGGGGCCCTCAGCGGGAGATGAGATCTCACCTACTTGAAACCAAAGCCCCTGAACCACAGCCCCACCTGGGAGGCATTAGAGCTGAAAACTGGTTATTTTATAACATTCACTTGCCTTCAGCTATAATATTTTCCTTTAAAAAAACTGTTATCTCTTCCAGAACAAATGATCTTAAACCAGTTATGGTTTAAGATGCTTAGCAAAGTTTTGGTTTACAAACCATGTAGAAGTGTTTTCATAGTAAATGAGGAGTGGAGCTTTGGGCAATTGTGGGGGGAGGGGCAGCGTCAGCCCTTGGGGTCCATGGGTACGTTTTGCTTCATTTTTTAATGCGTCAAGATCTAAAATAGAAATATGTTTTTTCCCTTCTCTGAATAGGGTTGGGAACGTGGTGGGGAAAAGTGTAAAAAATGGCACTACTTTCAAACCAAAGCACTCTGTCCCCTCAGGTCTCTGCATGGATTCTCCTAGCCCCATGGACCCCCAGATGGCGGAGCAGACGTGAGTAGAGAAGAGGGATCCCCACTACCAAGGAGTTGGCACCTGCTTTTGGGAGTCCCAGCTGTAGCGTAAACTCATTGGGGAAGCCTAGGAGAGTAGACAGACTCCTCTGGATCCCCATATGGGGGGACTAATTGACCTTTCTAAGTTCTGGGATTTTGCTCCCTGTATCGGAGAGGGGCCTGGTCTCACAGGAGCATCTGAGAGTGGGCTCAGAGCCAGGGTGGTGGGGACAGTGGCCTCTGGGAGCAGCAGATACTTGACTCCAGCCAGCCCTTGTGGGAATATAGGCCTGGTATATGTCCTGTTTTCCTTTCTGCCTATACACATTTATTTGTGTGTGTGTGAAATTTCACAATTTTAAAATATGCTCTAATTCAAAACTTTAATCACTCTAGGCCAAACAAAACAGTTGCTGCAGGCTGGTTTGGCTCTTGGTCATCCTATCAGCAACCTCTGGCTTCAGTGACACTTGACCCTCTGGTCCACCTCTGGACCAGGCTCTTTATTGAGAGGGACTGGTGAGGGAGCTGGTGGGCTCTGTTCAGGACAGATCCCACCCCCTTGGTTGTGGGGCAGGAGTAGTACCTTCCAGAGCACAGCTGTTTCCATCCAGCTGTTTGAGCCTCAGCAGGGAGAACAGCTGCCAGACATTAGTGAGAACAGCTGGGCATCCCCAACCTGAGCTAGGGGACTGTGGCTTTGAGTTTAGGGCAGTGGCTGTTTTTCTTCCTACTGCCTTTGATCAGACTGAGCTGGGCTACAGGGTTTGTTCGCAAACAGGAAACGGGGAGAGATTTGGGTGGAGGGACTACACGTTAGGTTTTGGTGGCAACACAGAGCTGTCCCTGCTTTAGCCCAAGGCTCAGGTGCAGATTGGAAACCAAATCAATGAAATTGTTCATCCCTAATGCCAGGTTGGCTTGGCACAGCCCCCC